GGTCAGGGGGAGGAATGGAAAAACAGCATAAAAAGCATTGTTTGAACTGAGCTTTCTCTGTGCCCTGGGGTCAGCTTACTGAGCTGTGTCTTCCAGCAGCTCAGCAACATCAGCACCTATGCACGTATCTCCTTGAAATCAGGCAGGCTTCATGGCCTCAGCAGGGGCTACCGTGGCTGCTATTTTCACCCAGCTCCACCTTAACACACACACATATGACACGAGTTTTGCTTGTCAGGAGCTTGAGGTACAGTTTCCCAGAAACCCCTGCACCTATCTCCTTGGAATCTGACATGCTTTGTGGCCTTAGCAGGGGCTAACATTTCTGCTGTTTTCATTAGAATCAGGAAAGAAATGACAAAGTTATAGGCATTTTCATGATTCTCCATTATAGCCTATGGGTGAAATGTCGAAATGCGTTGAAACAGTGTTGAAACAGCAAAACAGTTTTGATGAAATAAAACAGAACAGTGCTTCGAAACAGCAAAATGAAACACTGTTCCTTGGAAATGGAGAAATGGAAGTCTAAACAAAACAGTGCTGTTTTACGCAGCCCTAGAGCACACAGGGACAGCGTGTGCCACTCAAAACAGGAGCCTGTCCGACCGAAGCCATGCTCCACTGCTGGCCAGGCTTATAGCGGCAGGATTGCTGCTGCTGCAGCCCCAGGAGGTCCCCAGGAGGTCCTCAGGACCCCAGGACAGGCTGCTGGCCTCAGCCTCCCCTACCCCACCCAGGGTAGTCTGCTGCGCATCTGTGGGCGTGTGACACAGGCGTTTCCCAGGGACAACTAGTGGCTGCACAAGGTGCGCCACCACTAGTTGTCTCTGGGGAACCAAATGCCCATGCCTGTGTGGAGATGGCCTCTGGGTTTATCTTATGAATCATGCTGGCATAGTTAACAGTGGTAATGTTGCATGGCACTGCATCACACCTGAAAGGACCTCAAGACCCCTCAGGTTGCCACAGCACCCTGGTTGAGAATCGCTGCTCTAAACACCTGTACCCTTTAATCCTCGGGTCCCCAAAGCAGAATCCAGAAGTCTGCCTTAGGTGCTTAGGCATGGGGAGAGGGAGGAGGCTCAGCATGGCGTCAACAAGAGCTATGTTGAACTGTGAGCTGCCAGCGTCAGTACCCAGCCACCTATTTAGCCAATAGGAAATACTGGAGTGAACGGTGTGCCTATCCACCTGACTCAGGGCTGCAAGACACCTGTACTTGACATCCACAGTCCAGAACCAGCTCTTGAAGAAAGACACCTACGCCTTTCTTTTCAAAGAACTGAGCAAGTTCCAAATTAAAAAAATACAGGCAAAGCAAGAGGTGCTCATATTGAATAGCCTAAAGGTTAAAGCACTCACTCAGGTAGTAGGTAGCTCAGTTTAATTCCTCCACAATCTGAAGAGATTCAAATTCACATCTCCCAACTCCCTGGGGAGTTACCTAAGCTAGGCTCTAGGCTTTTCTTGAGAGAGGCATTCCACCCTCCTTCTGCTGAAGCTGTACCAACATGCAGAAAAGTAGAGATTTGTGGGGCCAAAACTGACTCAACTATCAGTTAAGGTACTCCTGTGGTAGGGAAGAATACTTCGATTTTGGTACTAGATCCAAGGACTTTTTTTTTGTATTCCATCCAATGACTGTTTAACATAAATTACAGAAATCAATGCTGGGAGCAGAGAACAAAGCCTATGACTTCCTGCTGGTTAAGACAAGATCCCTGTGGCTTTCTTTGCCCTCCTCTCAGCCAGGGAGTCTATTGAACTTTGGGCTCCTATTTCCTGCAAATGCTCTCACCTGTAGGCTATCATAGAAAAGGCAGGTACCACTAGCTCCTTCTCTGGCCTTCTTTCAGAAAAAAAGTGGTAGCAAAAACTATATTTTGTGAGGAGCCCAATCCTGCTGGGTGTGCATGAGGTGTTCTCTACAAATGCATGACTTGAGTAGAAATACTCCTCTTGGATAAGGATTTGCCATTTACAAGTATTGTTTAAGATACCGTAGAACTCAGTTTTAAAATAACTTATATAGACATTTATTTTTCATAATGATATTTTATTAGAATGTCAGGAACGACTAAGTGTGTTGCAGAAATCTATGTATATTATGCCGCCACCTATATAAATCACATTTTTCATCAGTAATGATAAAGTTTGACATGGAACTGTTTTTCATAAACTCACAAGTCTGAAATATTCTCTCTGTTTAGGGTAATTCACCCCTTTTTTGCAATTCACTTTTAAATACATCTTTACCATTCTTTTTTTCAATCCATAGTTTGCCTTTAGAAGCAGAAATTCTTTCCAGTAAAATGGTTATCATAGCATTCCCATCCAGGAGTCTCTTAGCAGTATCAAGATATTGCCATCCCTACTGCATGAGAAGATATTCTGCAGGATTTAAGACGGCCATACACCTTGGTATCTTCAACTACTTTGGCATAGCCTGAGAGGTTCTTACTGTGTATATGTTCTTTACCCTTGTAAGCTACCGTATTACATGTAATTTAACAAGCACTCCTAATACGCTCAGCTACCCTCTTCTCAATTAACCTTGAAGAGCTGGGAGAGACTTCCCTGCTGCTTTCTGGATTGCCCCTAAAGCTCCTGTTTTGTGTTGACAATTACAAAACTATAGTCACAGGCAGAAAATTAACTATGCTGTACTGTGTCTCAAACCAGATAGTTACAGTGCATTCTTCCGAACCACAGCTAGTTTTCCAAACTTTCCACACAGACTTTATATTTTATGGAAGATAGAACAGGAGACTGTCATGTTTTACCAGTACCATTATAGAAGGCCCTGCAGCTGTGGATTATTTGTCTCTAAGGCTCCTTAACTGCTGTTTTTACATATTGTGATTAATTTAAGCTGCTAGACTATTTTTAGCTTTGCCAAGTAGCTGTAATGTTTTATAGGATCCCCTCATTTGCTGTCTAGTAGCCTGCTGTTCTTTTCTTACCTGAACTTCTAGTTTGCTCTACAGCTGCTTTATAGATTTACTTGCAGGAGTGTGTAGGCAAAGATGAAAATGAAAAGTCTGACATGAATATTCAGCACTTAAATTACACTCTACATCTTCAAACAACGTTATAATAATGAAGAGATGCACCATTTTTGACCCATCTTTGGGGAAACTGAAGTGATAGAACACTGTAAGGAGAAACCATAGCTGTAGACTAGCCTGTGTCCTTATGCATGCATTCATTATGGAAGTTATGGGGAGATGCTGTATTGTTCACATTTGTCACCCAATTTTAAAGTGATACAGAGCAGAAAGTTATTCAAGTCATGCTAGAGGTAAAGGAACACAAACCTATCAATCTCTCCCAGGGCAGGAGGACTTAGGAAAGTCATTTTTAATTGGGGTGTAACACAACCTTTTCAAAGGGGCCGCAGCCAGGTGAAACTACCTTCTGGGGTCTCATGTCCAGGAGGCGCCTGCAAAGCCAGATTGGGAAGTGGCTGCAGCAGGTCTGTAGCCACTTCCCAGTCTGGCTTTGCAGGTGCCTCCTGAAAACAGTTGCAGAGGACAGTTCCACCTGGCAGCAGGCACACAGCACTGTGGAGATAAAATAGGTAGCTTGAGACTTGAGAATGGGGGTTCCTAGAATACTTTGATAATTATTACTCCTTGCACACACACTTTTCTTTTCTTCTTCTAGCCCTCCCTTTTCCCATCACCCCCCCTCCCTCATTATCGCTTGAGACAGACACCTCTGTGGTTCAGGTTGATACATAGGTGCATGGGGATTTCTGATTTGTTGTGGCCTTTAAAAAAAGTGACAATTAAAAAAAAAAAAAAAAAAAAAGCAGCAGCAAACCAGAGCATGGTTCTCAACCTGGCTGTCACCAAATTTGGAGAAGCTGTGGGTGCCCAAGATGGTTGAGAACCACCGGCTTCAACGGTGGCTCCATTTGTGGCTTGGCCTCCCTCTAACTCTGGCTCCACGTGTGCGAGGCAAGAGAGGTGCTGAACTGTCCCCGAGGTTGAAAGCTTAAGACTGCTTATCCCTCTTCCTACATCCCGGGAGAGAGAAGCTGTGCAGCCTGTGCCCCGACTAGTGCGAGGACACACTAGGGAGGCCTCCTCAAAGAAACCAAGAAAAAAAAAAATATTAAGCAAGAAGGTCCCCCGCCCAGAAAGATGAACCGAGCTGCCCTTACTCCAACACACGTGGCCTCCACGGGAGCCCCGGGACTCGGGGGCAGCGGCCGCCGCCCTGCTCGGAGGAGGGGGAGGCTTTGGGTCTGCCTGTGCGGCCGGTGCTGGGCGGGGAGAGCCGGGCAGTGCCCTCGCCGGGCGCCGGGCACGTCTCAGGCACCGCGTCTTGCGCCTCCTGTGCAAACCCCACCCCAAGA